GGGGGGGGGGGAGGGGCGGCCGCCCCCTCGCCCCCCCCAAGATTTCCGCCACTGCACTCTTCAACCAGCTTTGTCCACTTGGATCTCAAAAGAGAGTCAGTTTTAGAAGTTTTATTATGATCTTATCACAGTTCACTTTGTGGTTAATATTCTTGCCCTCAGTAGAAATTCGAAACTCCAATCTCAGTGGCATGGTATTTATGAATGACTTTTATCGATCTACAGTATGCAGTATATTGTGGAAACGACGGCGTAACAAGTTTTGTAATATTCCATTATAAATATTATAAACCATGAAAGAATTGGCTAAGTGAAATCATCGCACACGTTGTCGTTGTTTTGTTAAATTGACATATTGGTGCCAGGACTTTGGAGTGACAGCTTTTTCTTGTGTTAAAGCTTTAAACAACACAGTACATTAGATCTTCCGTTTCATGTTTACTTGACATATATGTGCTAAGAGGTCACTTAATTACAGAATATCAATTTGGTCAACACTCAACATGTTGTAACCTGTGGTCATTGTGCTTTTGTAAAATGAGTTATCTATAACTTTAAGATTCCAGATGTTTTTGTAGCATCTGTATAAATTATAGAATAATTAATTTAAAACAATTAAAAGTCCCCCAGGTTGTAAATGATTGCCACTTGACAGCATAATGTAAGACTGTAACTAAGCCAAACCTGACATAATTTTTGCATCAAGATAGCAGTTAATGAACATTTGTGTCTGCATAAAAAATAAGTAGTGAATTTAAATACAGATGTTTCCTTGTCTGTTGCTAATAATGTGAAACAATGTTGTTTATAGCAATAAGATTGAGTCATTGTGGATCAATAACAATGCTCACTTGCTAAAAATATACAAGCATCGATTCCATTTTCAAACTATTATTCTATGTGAAGATATTGGCAATTATATATAAAAGGAGATACAGTAGGATTGAAATTGCTACCAGTTTCAATCAAGTAACTACTTTCATTTCTATATCAAGCCTCCTGGGTGTTATTAGTCCCAAGGATCATTGAGGAGACACTTGTTCTAAATATATGCAATAAGTCTGGTTACCATTAAAAATGTCCATATTCAGAGTTACCGTTGTACTATATTTTATTAACATACTGCAGAAATGCAATATAAATCATGATTTTGAGAGTTAATTGAATGAGAGCTGCAAGGGGGGGGGGGGCTTATTTATATTGATTTTTGTATCCAAAGAGGGGGTATTGCAGAGAGGCTTAAAAGAGAGGGGGCTAAATATTGAAATTACAGTACCTCCATATCCCTTCCCAAACATGCTGCAGGAGAGGGGGTAACTGCAGGGGTTAAAGCATGGATTTCAAGGTCAATGTATTGCATGTTATGTACCTGGTAATATGGAGTAATGAGCTAGTAAATATATCCTTGCCTATACTTAGTTGCTGATTAAATGTTCAAAGATACACAGTGTGAAGCATGAAAAACAAATAGGAGATACAGGTGTACCCACTGAAACAAACTTTCAACAAATATGTATGGCATTGTTCACTTCATTTCTTACTTTCGACACAAGTAATTATAATTACAAACACAATGTTCTGTTATAGATGTGCTCCATGTATATATGTTAATGTAATATAGGCTAATATAAAAAATGTGGTTATAATGTTAAAATATGATATATAATACCATAAACCTCTGACTATAAGCCCTGGGCTTATATTCTTTTGTAAGCGTTTTTGATGCACTAAACCAAGGAGGAGGGACTTTATATATACGGGAGCCTTACGGACGATCTTTTGTGTTTACTACAAGTCAGTCATAAACAGGAAAATAATAGTTTTTAAATATCGTTCTCTGCTACATGTATATTAAAAGACAATGACTGGGCTTATATTCAGGGAACTTATGTTTGGGGGCTTTAATATATCTGGAATGAGGTGAGGGTTATATTCAGAGGTTTACAGTATATAGCTGGAAAAAGCTTGTATTTTCTTGTCATAGACACACAGGGTTCTCAAGTCGATCCAATGGTAAATTGATATCGCTGCCATCATCATAGTATAGTGATTAGTGTAGCACAGAATGGCCTTGTATCATGCATGCAGAAATGCCTTGGTCATTCAGTTTAGCCACTCGATCTTGCATCACAATAGAATTAGTTACGCCAAGTAACATGTCGTACACGTCAGGTAGCAGCTGAAATATTTTAATACTTGCCATTTTGCCATAATAAGCCCATATTAAACCTGTTAGTGTTACAAATGGCCGAGTCCCGCCGAGATACAATGTCTCATCTTTTAACGAAAATCCAAGCCCTCTTTTCGCTATAGCAGCTTTAATAGCTCTTCCAATATTTGCCATTGAATATAGTTTAACAGTAGTGTGATTTAAAGCACCTTTAAACGTATAAAAAACCATTTTGTACACGATATTCTGATGAGAATCTTTGGTCAAAACAATATCGATTGTGAGCGTGCGCCCGCGCGAATTTAGTAAGCGGAATAAACAAGAGCAATAAAAGCGCATGCGCCATTTATCTCATTTTGGGTAAAAAAAAATTCGATTTCCCCAGAGTCATGCCACTACCTAACCCGCGAACAGGCATACTCTGGGAACGAGATTGTTTGTGGCATTGTTCTGTGTATTATTTGTCGCTTCCCCCATTTTAAAAACAAAGCGTGCACTTACACTGTGACGTCATAAGAATTGCTTTGATGTATGCCGCGTTTCCAGACACTTTTATACATGGACTATGACCAGATACAGGAGGACTGGGACCGTCGTCCCGTCTATTATGCTTCCCGCGCTCTACCAGAAACAGAGAAGCGGTACGCAGTCATAGAGAAAGAAGCTCTAGCTGCGACCTAGGCCTGTGACAAGTTTTCCGATTATATCACCTGATTACAGTTTACACAGGGACGTCGCGTAGCCATCAACATTGGGGCGGAGATTATCGTCATGGTTTGACCAACATTTCCTAGGATTTTGACCAAGTCGTGCAAATTTTCCCCGAAAATGTTGTCGACGGGGGGGAGGGGGAGGGGAGGTCAAAATATTTTTCCGGACTAACATAAGCATAGTCAAAAAAATTTCCAGACTAGCATAAGCATATTCAAAATTTTTCAACCAAAATAAGCAAAGCTTCCAATTTTTTCACCGCAAACATAACAAAAGCTATAAAATTGTTAAAATTGCGAAACATTTCATAACTTTGAAAAACTTTGGTCATCTTTTATCCATAGTTTTACCTTCAAATTTACGCAAATATCAGTTCCATTTTGACCATATATATATATATATATATATATATATATATATATATATATATATATATATATATATATATATATATATATATATATATATACATATATATAAATATTCTCGAGTGTGTATTTCATAATTTCCATCCCAGCGTAAGCAGAAAGATAAAGTCTGCTGCGGCTGGTCTTGAACCCGCGACCTTCGAATCGGTCAGACGGATTTAATACTGGACATTATGAACTATATACTGAATGTCATAAACATACTCGTTTATATTAATTCAACATCGAACCATACTAGTTCTGCAAGTGTTATGTTATGTTGTGTTGTGTTGCGTTGTGTTGTGTTGTGTTGTGTTGTGTTGTTATTGTTATTGTTATTGTTATTGTTATTGTTTTTTCTCATTTCTCATCTGTTATTTGTCATTTGTATTTTATTTTTATTTTACAATCTTTGTCACATGACCGGTTTAACCCACAGAGCTAGTTGCTCCTTTACGGGTAACCTGCATTCTAACAAAATCCATTTGTCATTTGTCATTTGTTATTAGTTATTGTTGGTAGAACGTAGATCTAGTAATTCGAAGGTCGCAGGTTCAAGACGCAGCCGCGGTAGACATTATCTACTTTAACTACAGACGGTACCGTTTCGGCCTTATGGCCTCATCAGCGTATTCGAAAACATTTAGCATGTCGTGTTGCCATGGCTAACATGACGTGAGTAACGCGATCACCTGCGTCCAGTATCGACATAATTACGTATACTTCATGTTGGAACAATAATGTTGGGGATGGGCTGTTGCATGCATGTATTTCTAGTAATAATACTTCTCAGCTGAGTAAATATTATATTCCTAGCACTAATCTAGATAAAGCAACATTTTTCTGATTTTCTTAATCTGACAGGATTGTAAAAATGCCCAGGGAAAACTTGTAGCAATCGAATAACCTTGCCATCATTCACTCAATTGTTGTTTAAACATAATAATTGTTTTTACAGCGATATCTCTCAGATTGCAAGGGCCGTCAAGTGCAAATGGTACTGGTCGTGTTGAAGTGTTCTTTGCAGGTCAATGGGGAACAATCTGTGATGATTATTGGGATTTAATAGATGCTACAGTCGCATGTCGTCAACTTGGTTATCTAAATGCTGTTAGAGCTCTTCGAGGGAGTTCTGTTCCTGCCGGTTCTGGACAGATTTGGTTGGAAAATTTAGATTGTAAGGGAAGTGAACAAACTTTGGACAAATGTCCACATAGAGAATGGGGAAAACATGATTGTAATCATTACGAGGATGCTGGTGTTGAATGTGAGTCAACAGGTAATTATACTCTGACATTAATAGGATATTTTTTAGTTTTCAAGAAATTATGGCGTATGCCAACCGCGGACAAACCGAATATACCATTCGCTTTCGTCGTATATCAGGGCCTCATATCGTAGGGAATGGGAACAAATGCGGGAAAACAAGCGAAAGCTGCTTAAGTCAAATTCGGACGCCATGCAGTGTGTCATCTTTATAACGGCTTGTTTATTTTTCTTAATCTCGATTTATAACGATTTTTGTGTGTATTTTAAGATTTTGTGCGAACAACGAAAGCTATGAACGAGCATATGTGAAAAAAACAACTGTTTTTTCTCCTTTTTTGTGTGGAAAATGTGAAAATATGACAACGTAGCGATGGTGCTTATCCAGAAGCGAAAAACAGTATTTCACTAAGATTTTAACGTCAATATATTATACTGTACGTTATTCCGTTAAAAATCAAGACAACTGTGGAACGATGTTTATTTTTATAATTTGACATTAATATGAAAGAAACCAGAGGTAAAAATTAACAAGAAAACGTCAAATGTTATTGATTCGCATGGGAAAAATAGGTACGCTAAGCGTACATGTACCTGCTCATGCATTGTTGTCAAGGAGTTCAATCAATACTCAGTAGCTTGTAAACATATTAAGAGGCTGATGTTTAATTAAATTAATATATTTATTCTATAAAACATCTATAAATTTCCAGAGACTAATTCCGGCCATATAACTTAACTCACAAGATGATATTCTTGTTGAAACATAACGGGTTCAACATCTTCAAGATTGATAGTTCATAATAAATAATATGATATGGCAAAATCTGGTTTGTCTGTAATGAAAGTAGGCACCAATTGTCTATAGTTATGAACTATGATTTAACAAATATAAATCATTTTTCGTGTTGATAGGCTATATAGTTATGTCAACACGAGTGGGAATTAAGAAAACGAGTGGGGATAAACTATGCATCAGTGGGGTAAACTATGCATCAGCATGGGTTTTATAACCATGCAGTGTCAGTGATTCTCAAGATATATATTAATAGCAATATGAATGACGTAAACTGCGATCCTTTCACCTTCCATTCCGTGACCCAAGATGATGTAAATAGGATAATACAAAGATTACCATAAAAAGCTCCTGGATATATGATAGTGTAACAGCTAGAATTTTAAGTTTACCCGTGATGATTCCTGCAATTACAAACTTAATAAATTACTCCTTTTCATCATGCGAGTTTGCTCATGTCTGGAAACGAACGGAGGTTACACCGTATATACACGTCCAATTTCGATTCTGCCTATCATATCTAAAGTTGTTGAGAGATCACCACATGTGATATTTACTGGATATTTAGAAAAATTGGCCAATATCAGTCAGGAAATTGGAAAATCCAATCCACGGAAACAGCACTTCTCTATTTTACTGACAAAATTCTAAAGAATATGGACATGAAACAAGTATGAAGAACAAAACAATAGACACTCCGAAAATAGTTAACATTTTAATCAACGTTTCGACTAGGTTTCAGTCATCATCAGCAATGACACTATTGAAAAATACTGAGATATATATTTACAAGTTAAGCGGATCAAATTACGCGCAAATTAAATATCACAAGTTCCTTAGAGGCTTTAGTTCCGTGATTATGTTCCGGTTTTTGGCGATTTATATCTAAAGACTCCTTATATAACAATAATGACCAATGCCTAGATTTATCTAATATAGTACAGTTTTGGTATATGATGGCTTCTGTGGTATGTGGATCAAACTGATCCAGTAGTGTGTTAGGTAGGTTAAGTAGGGTAGATAGACAGCCTTTACTTTAACACGATAATGTTTAAAGCTGCAAGCTTGTGGGGTCGTGTATATAACTATATATCTATGAGTTAACTATAAAAATGAAATATTAGATGTACATGTACTAATAAAATTAAATATATACATATTCACTCTGCCTGAACCGCATAGTCAGTTGAGGCAGAGGCGACATCGAACAGGTCTGGAAGTATTGGAAATGTTCACATGACACAATATGTTTGTGAACTTCTGAGTTTTTGTCGGAGGAGTGTTCTATAATCCTTGTTCTGAGGCAGCGATCAGTTTTTTCCGATGTGCGACAATTGACAGCCAGGACAGCTAAATTTGTAGACAACACTACGTTGGAGCTCTTTATCCGTTCGGTCTTTTAAGGCTGATTTCCACTGTTGCGTTTTTCGTACGCACGTACACGCACGTAAAACTTTGAATCCTTCTATTTTTTAAACATTTTACAAATAAGTTAACAAATACATACTAAATTTTTTTGAGTTATTTGCTGGAATACTCTGTGGCAAGTATTGTAATCGAAATGCAAGAACTACGGCTTTGCTGGACGGGTGATTTGGAGAAATTGAAGCTTTTTGTAAGCAAGAATGTTGATTTTGTCGGCGAATGGACTTCACCAGGCAATGATAAAAAAAATACAGTGATGGTTATAGCTCAATATCCTGGCGCAAATCCAAGAAAGTGTTGGAAATAGAAGGCAGAGACAGGAACCTCATAACAGCTAAGTTGTGTACAATGTTATGTAATGATTTCGATCCTGTACAGTCAAGCAAAAGCGACAACTATTGCGGATTCCCTTCCACAAGCAATGAAATGCTTGTTGAATTGGAGGGCGTTAAACTCGATGTAAGAATTACTGAGAAAGATATTCGTGATAATAAACATAGCATTAAAAACGTGGAAGATTGCCTTGATAAAGTAGTTGGTAAATTAAACATTATTAACCAACAGTTTGATGTATTTAGGGCAGAGTTTCAGTTGTTGAAAAACCAACATACGATTCAATATTCGCCTAAAGCTGTCGAATATTCAAATTTGGACAACCAAAACGCCTCCGGATTGCAAAAACGTCATGAGGAAAACAATAACATAATAGGATCGAATCTAAATGATGACATTGTAATGAGTCGTAATGATGCATTACAATCTCTGGCAAATTTGCGGTCTGAGTGCCTTTCCAATGTTTGTTATGATACTCAATTAAAGCGTCTTGAAAGGGAACTGCATGATGAACAAGATAAAACCAAGCAACTTGAATCTGAGCTAACGGTTGCCGAAACAAAAATCTTACAACTCGAACAGGTACTAAACCTACACGAGTTAGAACAAAAGAGTAAAGAAACTGACAATGGGCTTTGTCATGATCATTCCTGCATTATTTTGGAGACACTCAGCACTAATTGCATTAGAAATCAACACGCGTCTCCGACTCAAGAGAATACCTGTACTAATAAATATATTACATCTCAAGAATTACCACCTAACCCTCGAATACCACCAAAACAAGTTGATAAGCAGGAGCCTCAAAAACATGCTGGTCAAGTAAGTCAATTCCCAAAACATACGGAAATTTCGGACATAACTAACTGTTATGCCATCCCGACTCGCGTTACCCATAGAACACCATCAAAGAAATCGACGTGGCGACGAAATAAACATGGCGCTAGAATCAACCAGACTGAGGAGGGTTTTCGCAAGGACAAATGGAAAGCCAATATGAGGTTTTTCCGGTATTATTACTAGAACATGATTTTTCCCTATCAGGTCGCCCTACTTCAATTCATCGCGGACAACGTAATTTAAATAATATTATTCAAATTAACATTAATAAAACTGTTATTTCCAATGCTAATGACTATTTCTACGTTCCGAAACTATTATTGACAAATACGATGTCATTAGCTCCCAAAATTGATGAAGTGAGTTGTTTTGTCACAGAAAAGAGTCCTGACCTTGCCTGTATAACGGAAACATGGCTAAATGCCCGTATCTCAGATTCCTGCCTCGATATTCCAGGTTACAATTTTGTTCATAAAAACCGCAGTGTGGGCTCCCACGGAGGGGTTGGGGTGTACATCAGGAACACGATATTTTATAAGCCTCTGAATCATCTCCACCACATAGATTACGAAGTTCTGTGGGTCTATGTTCGTCCAAGTAGACTTCCCCGCGGGTTTTCCTGCTTGATACTTGGTGTCGTTTACCATCCACCTAATGCTAATGATGATGAAATGCTCCAATTTCTCTCCACATCACTGATTACTATTGAAAGCACTTATCCTGGATGTGGGTTTATTCTTGCAGGCGACTTTAATCGGTTAAAATGCAATCGGATATTAACACAGTTCAGTTGCAAACAGATTGTTAACGTTTCCACAAGGGCCAACCAGACTTTGGATCTAATAATAACCAACTTACATTCGTTTTATGATAAGAACTCTGTCGAAAAATTTCCGCCATTTGGTCTTTCAGATCATAATGTTGTGATTATCAATCCTTGAAAAAGAGAACCCAAGTCATGCAATAGAAGAATTATCTCTAGGAGAGATTTACGATCTAGTAAAAGGCATGAGCTTGGAAGATACCTTACATCTATCGATTGGTCCTCTCTGAATCATTTTGACACATGCGAAATGAAACTCCAGTATTTCGAAGAGTTAGTACGTCTCGGTATTAGCACCATTATGCCAATAAAGAAAACGGCTTTGCATGTACACGATCCTCCATGGATTACTGCAGAATTTAAAGAGCTTATAAGGAAGCGTCAAGCTGCCTTCTGCAGTGGAAATACCTTTCAGTTCAAGTATTACCGAAATCGGGTTAACCGCGAGCGAAAGACATGCCGGGCGAAATTCTACTCTTCAAAAGTAAAGAATCTTAAATCGACCAAACCGAAGAGATGGTGGAAGGAGGTGAAGCAGATTGCTGGTATGGTACCTACAACCGGCTCCGATGACCTATGTAGTCAACTTCATTTAGACGATATCGAGAATATGCAACGTCCTGACATTGCGAATTTAATTAATAACGCCTTTTTGGAGCCCATGAACTCCTTCAATCCACTGTCAACCCTTCCCCCCTTTGATAATTATTCCTCTTTTCAAGTGAACGAATTGGAAGTCTTTCATTTACTGAAAGCAATTAATCGTGGAAAGGCGTCAGGCCCTGACGAAATTCCCAATTGGGCTCTTAAGGAATATGCTGAAATCCTTGCACAGCCAGTATGCGCTGTGCTAAACAGCAGCTATGCCGAACAACAACTACCTAAATCTTGGAAGCTTGCCAACATTGTGCCGCTCATAAAAACTAAGCCCGT